TGGTTGAGGGGGTTGCGGTTCGGTTTGGGATTGCTGTGACCCTGAGCACGGGGAGGGAAGCGCGGCTCTTCGGGTAGCCGCTGTCCCGGACGGCTGGGGGCGAGGGGCCCTTCTGTCTCCAGGAGCTCCACTGGGGTCTCCTCACGGCTGGGGATGGCGCCCTAGCCGCCCCTTAGGCACCCAACCCTCTTGGGCCCATGGGGCCTCTTCGGAACAGGGCTCTGCTGGTGACACAAGATGGCGGCTGGAGGGTTGGTGACGGTGAGGCTTTGAGGAAAGACTCGCAGCCGTGCCTCGCCTGTGTTAACCCGTTGCAGGAGCCAAGTGGTGTGTTTCCTTCCTTGCTGTTGTGGAAAGGCTCAACATAGCTTGTTAGCCAGGGCCTCAGCCTGTCCTGCCATGCCAGAGGGAGCTCCCCTAACTCAGTGAGGCTCGCGTTCTTGGGCACCTATGGCTGGTTGTTTGCCTAAGATGCTTTTGAGCTCTAGAGAACGTGACCTGTTCACATGGTTGTGCTTCTGAAATAGGGAATGGGACTTGGCTGGAAATGTTGCAGAATCCATCACTTGGCCTTTCAAGAGACTCTTTGGACCATGCTGTTCCCCTCATTTTGTCTTGTTTCAGTTGTGGAAGCTGCCACAGTAACTTCCCTTCCTGATGTACAAGAATATGCTTTTGTACAACCTTCTCATGCTTCGTCCAACTCAAAGAGAAGGTAATGGAAAGATGTGTTGGGTTTAAGTCCTGTTTGAATTCCGTAACTATGTAGGAAATGTGTTCTCATTGTCTCCAGAGTTACTTGCCAAGGAATAAGGGAGCCTCCCTTGTATATCCCTTCCCTCCTCTTTGTTCTCAGCCCTGCATTAGCTGGCATTGACCAGGGTTGGGTGTTTTTAGCGTTGCCAGTGCATAATGTAGTCTTAGACAGTATCTGTGTGTGTAAATGCTGGTGTGTTGTTTCACTTGCATGTTCCAGAGGAAAGAGAAATTTGTTCTTCAAGATGACGAGGAAGGGGATATTTTGGATTCAGGTCGTAGCTTTCCCAGCATTTGATTGCTGTCATACGTGGATTTTCACCTACCCCTGTTTTTAGACACGAATGATTATCAAGGCCATAGTATCCTTTCTCTTGAATGGTAGTCCCCATCATGTTTCAGATACTCTGCTGTGTATCTCAGCAGACTTACAGTGACAAGTAATTATGAAAAGCCAGCCCTTAGCAACTGTTTTTGTGTCCTGTTGCTTTAATTTATATCCACATGAAAGAGACAGAGATGGAGTTAGAAGTATAACTTAACTATTTTAATAAATCTTATACAGTGCATGGTTATATCATTTTATCCTTCGTTCAATTACATTAATGTACAATACATTATAGCACTATCTGCAGGCAGTACAAATAGATGCACAGCTCAGTCATATGGAAATTTTTAAAAGTGACTTCTGCAGTAAGACCTACCAATATATTTATTTTATGAAATGCTCCTGTGGCTCCCAGCTTTATAGAACTGTCATGTATGCTTCTATTGCAGTCCCAAGTAACTATAATTGTGTGATTTGTTTTCCTCTATACCCAAAGATGAGAATGGTGTCATATTCCCTAGCTCACCCTTTGTTTTTATTTTCATTTTAGAAACTATTTAGCCTCCTGTGCTTGTAACACCACTGGTTTGCAAGTGTTCACACCTGCTTCCTCTCTCCACCCTAATCCAGAGCCAGGGCTTCTCAGGAGGATTGTCCTCTTCATCCCTCCCTGACAAGGTGAGTGCCCTTTGCAAACTCTGTGCAAGCCAGCAGGGTTCTAACTAAATCATGATCCTCCTCTGTAAGTTCCTTGCCTGCACCCTAATTCTGCTGGTGCTAACAATGTCCTGTTTCAAGATTAAGAAAATATATCATCCATGAGAAACGCTTCTGGAAGAACAAAGCCAAAATTGAGAGGTGCATCAATATTCTCAGATATAGACACGTGTTCCCCAGCTACTGCTTTACAGTTGCACATGCAAGGACAGGCCCAAATTGTGCAAAGACTTAGGCATGTGCTTAACCTTTAAAGGAGGTGGGACCATTCTCAGCACGTAAAGGAAAGCACATGTGTAAGTATTTGTGGAGTCTCGGCCTGAATTCCCATTCAACCAAAGTTAAGTGTGAATGGAAGAGAGTCTTCCTGGTCTGTGAGCAGTTCCTGTAGATGTGTTTGCTTTACTGCATTCCTATCAAGTTGGTCTGTAAGTAAAATATAGATACAAATACAGCGTGTGGCAAACTTGCTGTGGACAGGAAGTCTACTATATGCTTGCTTGAGCTTTTAAAACTTTGACTAAATTATTGATGCGTAATCACTTAATTATGTCTCTAGAGAAAGGGATTTTTTCCTCATCCCTATTTATAGATGTAAGAGCAAGGGGGTATTTCACTAGATAGATATATACATATGCACATAACGTTACTAAGAAAAACAGGAAGTAAAGAACAACAGCCCCTACTAAATTAGAGATTCTTTTTTTTCTTGTGGCCATCTATTTTGTATTAAAACAGCCTTTCCAAGTGTGTTCTTGCTTCTTAGCTATTTAGGAAGCATTTCAGATTGCTCTTTGCAATGAAAATGTGAAGGTGGGGACGAGTGGCGAACACCCTGGGAAGGGCTTTGGGTGTGACTGGGTTGTGAGCAAATGGTAGGGGCTTAGTCTCCTTGTTGAGGCCTGGCTTTGGCAATACTGCAACTTTCCGATGCAGGATCAGTGCTGAGGTGAAGGGCTGCACAGCTGCCCTGAGCCCCAGCCTCTGCGTAAGCAGGGATGATCAGGCTGAGCTCACCTATTTGCAGATTCAAATCACTTCGGTTGTCACTCGGATCCAGCTCGTTATTACGCAATGAAAGCCCATTTCCACGGTTCAAAGAGAGCACTAACTGGTACATGTGTTTAAGGAAGCAGCCAATCTTAGGTAACGTGTGTTGCAATTCTAGCCTCGTCCAACAAGGGGGCATAGGGCGACAGAAGGAGGACAGTGAATTGTCACAGGGCCTTTGCTAGTGGGCTGCAGGGGATGTCTGCCACAGAGCAGGAAATGAAAAGTGGGGCAAAAGACTTATTTCCGTGGTCCAGACTCTAAATACTCAGGCTGGCTTGTTCTGTGCTGTGTGCCATGCCCTCTCTTGCTGAGCCAGGCCGGCAAGGGGGTTTCGGGAGCGGGTACAGCCCTTTGAGAAAAGCTTTGCGGGGTCTTTTTTTCTTGAATCCAGCCATTGTCATATATTCAGACACGTGTGAATTCTTATCGCATGCACATAAAATTTCAGTATAAAATATATAGTTATAAAAAAAAAATACTTCATGCAATATTAAAACACCTTTCCCAATGGGACATGATCTTATTGTCTACCTTTAACAAGTGTTCAAGAAGTTGTCACTTTGATGGAAATTACACTGCTAAGTGTGGAGCACTGCTGTCTCTTGTCTGGACTGGGGATTATTGCTTTCATTCCCTTTTTCTGCGCTACTATGACTAATAGCTGAAATAAAGCAGATGATAGATTTTTAATTAGCGGAATCAATCCTTTCCTGGCGACGCTTCATGATTTCTTGGAGCTCTGACTCCCCTCTGCTTTTCTAGGATGGAAACAAAAGACGAAGTTTGAATTTTAACTTCAAGCTGTAGTTAAATTATAATATTTAACTAATGCTGTAAGAGTAGAGCTAGTTTCAAAGGGATGAGTGATACCAGCAAGAAGGCAAATTCATTAGTCCTTTTTCCTGAAAAGACTTCTCAGCATTTTTAGAGGGTGTGGTTTTTTGGTTGTGTGGGTTTTGGATGTTTTGTTATTTGGGTTTTTTTTAATCATGTTTCTTAAAGTGTCTGTTTAATGGGATATCTGACACTGCTGGTACAGGCACCCATTCAGGTCAGAATTGTCCAGAAAGCTACTTACCTCCAGTTGGTTTTTCTCCACTGTGATTTTACTGTATACTCTGTTTCCTTCATCACCACACACTTTCTTCAGCTCCTCTCTGTTGAGGGAGAAGAGCTGAGCTCCAGTAAGTATGCCAAGGTGTTCCACTGTGCTGAGAAGACACAAAGTGAGGAGATGATAATTGTGCTACACGTGGCCTCTTCCCAAAGGTGAGGAGTCGGAGATAAAGGGGCTAGGAGCAGCCGACCTGCAGTCCCTGCACCAGGACCATATCACATGCAAGGCCCTGGGTGTGTGCCAAGGTGGCAGCAGTTGAGTAACCCAGGCTCTTGGCGGGAATGACAGCAAGCCATGAGGAGTGAGTGAAGCCAGCTTCACCCTGGCATCCACTGTGTACCCAGACACATGGGTATTGCAGTGATTTCACTCCAGTTGCGTTGCACTTGGGAGCAATCCTGGAGCTCCTCTTAGCTCGCTGTGCAGCGTGTGAGTTGTTGTAACTCATAACCCTGGACTACGTGCAGCTTTTTGGTCCTTCCCTGGTGGCTGGGAAGATTTGCTAGCCCCAGCTGAGGGTCTGGCTCTTCCTCAGAGATACTTTAGGACAGCTTCTCCAGAGACAGGCAGTCATCTGGAATTTGCATTTCAGGCCACGGGTTTAGTTAGTTACTTTTCTCTTAAGTTCATCACTCTGAACTGGCTAACCGGGGCCAGACAAGTGCCAGTGGTAGGACATTGTGCAGTGTTTGGCTGTGAGTTGTGTGAATAAGCAAGACCATTCCTTTATTTGCAGCTACTCATTAGGTCTTTTGTGGCATTGTAAGACAAGGTTTATTTGATAGTATGTAAGAAAGGGAGTAGGTATGGGCTCTGAATGTACTGGTTATATAGGCTGGATTTAATATGATTGAAATCTAATTTATAACACAGGATCTGTAAGTAAATACAAGTGACTTGTAATCCAGTTGAAATGTTGCAAGCTGCCTCCCCCACTCCTTTTTAAATGAAGGACCAGCATTTCATATGGTAATAAAGCAGATCTTACTCTTTACTGAATGACTTTGCCTCCAGCCAAGCTTTGACTTCTTCAGTGCTGGATTCGAAGGTGAGGGGCACAAAAACTTGCTGAGGCTTCTCCACTTTGAAATTCCTATGAGGAGGCTGAATTTTATTGTTTGTGATCTTCTTTAGCAACTCATCATTCAGCTCGTCCATTTGATGAATAAGTTCTGGGGAAACAAGGCACAAGGTAGAGAGTAGGGAATGAAATCAAGTCTTCAGTCACAAATCCTATTAAATTAATGTGCAGGGAAAATGTGAGGAAGATCAAAATGTGTCTCAGCATTTTTATTAACTCTGTAAATACACCAAAGGAGGAAAGTGCATACTTTTGTATTTTAGTTTTAAAGAACAAGCTCAAGTGCCTTTAGAGCAAGAGGTTGAGCAATGACATTTTGACCTTCAATATTCCATCAGGAACAAAGGTTTAAAAAGACTGCCACAGTTTTGGAGGCTGACAGACTGCTGGAGCAGACTGTGGGAATCTCCCCATTCCTCCCAAGCCAATACTCTCCTCTTCCTTCAGCTTTTGAAACCTCACTTGTTCTTTGGGAGAAACTGAGATTTCTGCAGTTCCTCTCCAGAATGATGGAGAGGAGGAATCACAAAAAAAGGCTAGATGCTCATCCTCCACACAGCGATCACTGAAACTAAAAAGTTGCTTAAGGGTTTCTTGCAGTGTGACTGTCCCCCAGGACAAGGGCACTGTTTGTTGCAAGCACTGCATGTCTGAGAGTTTGGCCTCAATGCTTCAGCAACGTCCATTAGGCTAATTGGGGAGTTTTGGAACAACTGCTGCTGTTCCTGGGAGAAAGAAAATTTCTGGTTCTGATGTTGACCAGCATTGACATAACTGTATAATTTCTAGAGAAAAGTATATTCTCCATCATGGTATATACCAGCAGGCTCTGAGCTGTCTCATTTAATAAGCACATATTCCCCAGTCCATGTTTAACTGAGTAGATATTAGTCTGGCGTGATAAAGGAGAGCACACATCAGCAGAGACACTTGCTTTTAGCCAGCAGGAGCAAAACTACCCATCAATCTGCCTGGAAAATTGTTGTTCAGAAGCACTTACTGGGGGGAAAATTGTGTCCTATTTGGCAAAATAACGGGAGAACTATTTGATAAGAACACGTTCATTCTGTGTGACTGGCATCTGCAGCAGGTGCTTGGTGAGGGCCTATATTTTCACCTATTTTATATACAAATTTATATTGGGATTGATCTTGTTTCTTGTGTTGCTAACCTACCCTGTTCATCACACCTTGTTCAAAGTACATTAAACCCTGCAACACTGACTAGCAGAAGTTTGCTCAAGGGTGTAAAACCCGATCTGGCAGTGTCTTTGCTTGCACTGGTGCTGTCAAGTGGTGACAAAGGGCATGGTGCCTTTTCCCTGCTGTTGTGTTTTTGCTTTAGTTTGTCATCTTCCTGTTTTTGAGTTACTTAGCTCCCACTGGGCTACTGAAATAAGGAAATTGCCCTGCAAACTTAGCAGCTGGGAGGGGGGAAAAAAAGCTAGACCACATGAGACAGCAGAGGTTAGGGAGGCCTGACTATCTGAGAATGAGGGTCCTGTTTTTCTGTGCCCCTGTGTTGCCATTTATTTTCTTCCGATTACCCCTTTGCTGTCGCCTGAGGTGGAAGGCCAATTGTGTACCTACAATTAGATTCCTGTTTTTGAGCAGTAGCCCTGTTCTCTCTGCTTTTCAGTCCTCTCTGCTACTTCTAGTAAGTAGTTCGCTGATCCCAGTCCTCAGACCTCCAGCTTTTGCTGTGCAGCTAAATAGAAGTAGCAGGAAGCATGAACTGGGAGTGAGCAGCACATTCATAAAACTCCAGTGACACATCATCTAGTATCACTTTTTCCATGAACCTCCTGGAGACTGTGGAGAATAACTCAGTGCGATTAATAGGTGCCTGTCTGTGATGCTCGTATTATGGGGCTTTCCGTCATCCCAAAAGGGCTCCTGCTTTCAGGAGTCCACAGTAGCTGAACAGGAGATGAACCTTGGTTGTGGCCTTCAGGAGACAGCTTGCTACAGGTGTATGCAGGGTGTGATAAGGGGGTGAGGTGAGCAGGACTCTGGGTTTTTCTGATGGTTCATGACCCCGCATAGCACACGCAGGGTGAGAGAGTGATGTGACTCTTGTGTTTGGCAGATCTGCTGGCTGGGATTTCTCTGAAACCACTTGAAGGAACAGGCCAGATGGACACCACATGTATGGCAGGAGGCAAGAGCAAAGGAAGCGAGAGAAAGGGATTGACCTGAATGTGGGTGGTTACTTAGACTTAAATGTGTTGGCGTGGAAAGGAAACTTCTTCTTGGGAGGAGGAGGGAGGTCAAGCTGGAAGGAGGGTTAGGGGTCACCTTTTTGCCCTTCTTGTCCCAGGCTGCCTGACAGCAGTGGGTCAGTGAGCTCCTCAGAGCTGCTCTGTTGGCTGTTGCACTACCTGGAACCTCCTCTGTGCATCTCCGCCAAAACCACTGTTGGTCTATTGCGTATCACTAAAAGGTGCAATCACTCCTTGTGCAGAGCCTTATGAGAGGGAACACACACTTGGGTAGGACTGGTTACATGCACACAGCAACCAAAATAGTGGACAGACCATTATGGTGAAAGTAAAGAAAGAGAAAGAAAGAAAACCACCAGGACAGAGAGCAAACAAAAGCACGTGCTCACAAACTTTTCAATTAAGTCCTGAAATGCAAAGCTGCAGTGCCAAGCTCTCTGGCTGGCTGAGGCTGCTATGTATGGTGTAAAAGGTGCCCGGACGCTGGGAGTGTGATGTGGGACACATACGTTCTTTGGCATCCTGGGGAGAGTTGCGTGATAACATTTCACTTCCCCATTTATCCCCAGCGTAGCTGGCAGGTAGCTTGTGAGTTGGGCTGGATGGTCCATATCCCCTGGGGCTTGGGTCTCCTTTGTACCTCTGGTTAGACTGGGTGATAAGAAAGAAAAAAAAAGAGTGTAAGATTATTTTTTTGCCATTTTTCATTTTCTAAAACATTTTGCCTTCTACCCACAGTAGCAAATTGAGGGACAAATTGCCATGTTCTCCCTGTGCTGATCTGCAGCCACCCAGCTGAGGCTGATGTGACCTCAGGTGGAGCTGCATGGAAGAAGTTAATTCTTGGGGTCTCACAGGAAGGAACAGAACCTAAGCCAAAGGCTGAAGACTATGTGAAGGCATTTACACCCCTGGAAAACACATCACACTCCCCAGCGGGAGAGGAGTGGTATTTTATGCTTGCTTACTACTGCTGTGGATGACTGCTCTCACATGCATGACTCGGCCCCTTAGCCTCTTGCTATGCAGAAATTACTGCTCATAGAACTTCCTTGGGGATGGAGAGCACGGGAAGCAAAAGGATTTTTATATGAAGAAAAAACAAACAGAAATCTCATTTGAAGCTAAAGCATCACTGCTCTAGTAACTTGCTGTTAAGTGGGACCACTGCCAAGTGCCCAGAGCAGTCTGGAAAGTTTTTTGGCATTTTGATTAAACTAACAAGGCTTTTGTCCAGAGGCCCGCTGGGGCACCTTATGCTTTGCCCAAGCTGTGAAATATCAAAGTGGGGAAGCAATTCCATGCTTCCTTAGGGCATTTAGAGCTCTTTAGCTCCACATTTTTGCAATGCAAGGTGCTCGAGAGCAGTATTCACTTAATACTTAGATGACATTTCCACCTCCCTCCGCTCCAGTAACTTGTTCCTGCTGCTGAACTGAACTGGATGAGGAAACTGTCTGTCTTTGATTTAAACCCCAACATTTGTTGGCAAAATTTGGCTGCCTTAGCTGTTGTGTCCTGTTCACAGCACAGCCCTGAAAGCAGCAGGGTTTTGCAACAGAGGGGGTGGTAAACCATAGGCTGAGGAGTACATGGGTTTTGGGGGGAAGGCACTGGCAAAAGGTGGAACTCTTTCAAGCCACTGCAGCCAGCACCTGCTTGGTGACACCTTTTCTGTTGGGATGACAAGTCATGGTGCTAGGCTTGGGATGGGTGTCTCTTGGAGCTAAGGTCTCACTTTGTAGCAGGCTGCTGTCTATAGCACAGGACTCAGCCTTCACCTGTCCTATAACCCTGCCTGCCAGGCACTGTTGGCTGCAGGCAACGTGCTTGGCATCTCGGAGCAGGGGAAAAGCATGAGGCTGCTGCATGGATGGGAAGAATAGGCCTCATTTAGGGAAGGTGAAGGTAAACAGTGGCAAAATGTGGGAGTTTTATCATAGGAGACTCAGGAATCTCCAGGATCCTGGTTTGTCTGCTTGTGAGGGTTCATGCCAACTTGTGCACAGCATCCTAAGAAATCCAGGGAGGTCTAATTACAAGATTATTCTCAGAGGCTGATTATGCCCTGCAGTTACATGTCACCTGACTACAGACCTGTTCGAGCTCTTCCAGTTTTACCACATCCAGGATGTTATAAGGGACATAACCAGCTTGCCCACTCCGGTTGAGCAACTTCCACCACTGCTTATTATCTTCCAACACCTGAGAGAGGGGAAAAAAAATAAATTTGCTAGTGAGAACATCAGATTTCTGGCACACATAAATGGCATATAGTAATAATAAACCACACAGTAATGTGAAGTTGTCAGAATAACATCACTGAGGCCAGGAGCTGGCAAACAAATTTACTGCACTCATTTGCAATTCAGGACTGAAGCCTTTGCTGAAAGGCATCAGAACTTATCCTAATGATGAACAGGAGAGCACCTCTGGGGGAAAATAGACCTGGGGTACGGAAGAACTCATAGTTCCTACTTAATTTATCAGTTTCTCCATCTTCTTTTTTTTTTTTTCCTTCAGTGCCTGAGTTTGTGTTGGCTTTTTGCATTAAGAAAAAACATAAATCAAAGTGACTCCTGCCAAAGATGCCAGAGTGTTGTTATATAACTTGATCATGTGTCACATCATAACATAATCACATCATAACCATGATGTGGCAAGGAGATTGCCTGTTGCTGAGATATCTCCTATTGCACCTGCCTCCCTGTGCCTTTCAGCAGGCTTCTTACCCAGAACTGTGATTTTTTTAAAAAATTTTCTTTTTAAAGTAACCTTCCTATAATGGATGAGCTTTGCGGGTAAGACCCACCCACGTTTCTCATTCTAGCTACATTTTTGAACCAAAGTCTTTTTCTCAAGTCATAGATCTGTTAGTGTGTAGACCAAGTCATATCCTGCATTCTCCAGCTGCCAACAGTATTGTGGTAAGAGAAAGGTTATGAAAAAGGATGTTTTCAGAGAAAATAATTCCTTTCAGGGGGGAGTGGTAATAATGAATATAGGCTCAGAAAGTGGGTGAGCTGTGTGCTACAGTGACTTGTTTTCCGTCCTCCTCATTGCTAATTAAAATGTGACTGATGTGTTTCAGCTGAGCAAATGTACCCTGCTCCGGCTCAGATGTAAAACTTTAGATTTGAGCAAAGCTTCATGTGACTGCTCAGAAAACACCAAGCGAAAGTGAGTTGGCACTTGCCAGTATCTTGAAATCTTTCTCCTGTTCCTGGAAAAGGGAGGAGGGCACACCTTTTCCCTGAGCATGTTCACGTACCTCCAGGATTTCATCCTTAAGCACTGAGAGTTCATTGGCATTTCGCGCAGTGAAATCGTAGCGGATTTTGGCATATCTCTTCGGCAGAGCCATTCCCTGTGCCTCAAAATTCCTGCAGGAGAAAAAAAATTGAGTTTTAATGGAGGCCCATCTAATAACTAGGGAAATTTAGGTCCACTAGGAAAAACTAGGGCTCACTGGCAAAAGAGAAGAGTTGAAGGTTGAGTAGCAGTGCAGGTATAGAGACAAATGTGTTTGTGTTAGGAGGGGGAAATGCCTCTTTGCTACTCTATTTTGAGGAAGATTTTTCAGCTCTTATTTTGGTGAAACACCCTGTGTTTGGGGGGAAAAAAAAAAGAAGCTGTAGGGCTGTTTGGTTAGTGGCCTTATTGGGGGACTGTGAGTCTGTTGCTTTCAAGGTGGGAGCCATTTCACTTTACCAAGCAAAGACTTCTTCCCCGTCAGTCACAGCTTTGCTGCAGCAAAGACTGGCGAGACTGACAAAGCACAAACAGAATGCTCTGATTGCATGTCCTGTGAAAAATAAGTGAAACCCTCATGTCCTGATAAGTGGAAACAACTGCCCTGCTAGAGCAGGGGAGCAGCAGGCACCAGTGCTGGGGGAAAGGGTCTTGAAAATGAGTGTAGGTAGACCTGACTGGAAATCTGTGGTTTCTTTCATCAGGCAATGAATGCTGAGCTACTGAAACAGAATTCTGCGGGTTCTCAGGAAAAGTAAGTTTGAATGTTTCTTTTTTAAGTTACGTTTGGGGGAAAGAGGACTGTGTTTAAGTATTTTGCTTGGGAATTTCTGATGCAAGAATATATGGTTTTCAATGATGAACTGGCTTTTCATTTAGAGAGAGAGACAAAATAAATATGGTAGGTTGTAAAAAATGGAAAATGGTGAAAAAGTGGAATGAAAGATTTCCTTTGACCCAAACTGAAATTATTTATTTTTCATAGTATTTTTGCCTGGCTTAGGAAAATTTTGCAGATCTCATCTTTTTCTTCTCCAGGTAAGATGGGTGTAGTGTTATTTCCAAAAATGTTTGCAGTATGGAAAAACTGTCTTGCATTGTTGTGTAAGGGCAGGTGGGAACTATTTTAATGCACCTTGTATGGATCTTTCTGCTTGTGACTTGCAACTGGCACAGCTACAGGATGCAGAAGACTCCCGGGTACCGTATTCACAGTGGGCATGCCAACAGGGGTCAGGTTCTTCTCCAGTTTATGTCAAGTTCTGTGTAACTCGGTGAAGCCAGTGTTTCCAGCACTGCTAACAACTATGGTTTTTAGCCTGATATTTTTCCATTGCTGAGTTCTTGGGTTTGGTCAGTGATTTTAAATCTATAATCTGTGGAAACTCATGTCTTGTGGACTGTTCCTGAGGTGTCTGTAAAATCTGACTTTGAAAAGCAAGCCATTACGCTTAGTTTCGGTTCACTTTACTGTTTTCATTAGATAGCTTTTGGTGGTCTGAAAAAGGTTGAAACCACTGAGGCAGAAGTTTGCTATCATGCCTATGGCTGTAGTGTTGTCTTTAGTTCCCTTGGTTCGGGACAACTCTTGGTCTAGTTACAGCCATGTGCAATATGTAAGTTGTAAGTCTGCAGCGGGGGAGAGCTTGGAGCGGACTCTCAGATTGAATCCACCTGTCAAGAAAGGGAGTGGTGGCCTTACCCAGCAGTGCCCTGAAGGCAAGGAGGGGGAGGAAGGCCTGAGTTAAGTGGAAATTACTTCTTTTGTAGCATTCCAGAAGGTAAATGAGTCATGAGGGAAGAGGTGATGGCTGGAGGAGTTTGAGGCTAATGTGTATTTTGCATGCACCTAGATTTTACACAGCTGACCTTTGCTGATTATTATAATATTGCTTGGGGCTTTCATGACACTTCTCTGCAGCCAAAAGCCCGGTGTAAATAATAATACTGATGCATGGGTATTTTTGTTAATATAGAGTCTCTTGGTTAGAAAACTAGTTCAAACTACCCTGAAAAAAGCATGAGTGTAGTAGGAAATATGTCTGTCCCAGGACTGTGATCTTGGCAAACATCTGGGCAGACTCGGCTGAAGGCTGCTCTGGGCTGAAGAAGGCATATAAGCACATTCTCAATTTTAGCTTCGGTGCTGTTAACGCTGATTTTTTTTTTTCTTAAATGTTATGCATGAGGAAAACTTGCTGTTGGTAGTCTGAAAGGTAGGTGAAAAGGCATACCACCTATCCCAGGAGAAAACAGATCCTCCATGTACTCTTCTATGAGCCCACACCGTAGTTAGGCTGGGTGGTGTCTCAGGGAAACAAGGTGAAGAGGCATACTGTTAATTTGTATTCCAGGACTAATACTACTATTTATCATTTGCCTGTGCTGAGACTAACAGATGAAAATGTTTCCTTATGTGTCTTATCTGCCATTAAAGATGGATTTAAATGTTCTCATAAACTAAGTTCTCCTTATTTTTCATAACCTCACTGAGAAAAATGGAATTGGAGAAGAGAATTTGTCATCGTAATTCATTCCCTACTCGACACTGCATCTGTACCATTTTATGGTCCCACCAGGACCTTTGATGGGGTGAACGGGAAGAATAAGTTATTTTGCGGTTATAATTGGATTTAAGGTATTTTGCTGTGAATTTGAACTTTTTTGTAGTAGTAGTAGAGCTTATAAATCTTCTAGATTAGAATATAAAACCATGAAAAAAGAGTCTGGCTTGAAGGTTTTTTCCCAGTCTAGAGCTGGCTACAGAAAAGTGCATGGTTAAGTGCTTTGCTGGGTCTGGACTTCCAGTCTTGAAAGATTTGAAGTTGATAACTTCATGTGAAATCACTGCAGAGCGGAGTATGGCAGAGAATTAATTTGCAATTTGGGAAGAGCTTGTTGAAACTCAAGAGAGCTCCAGAAAATTTCAAAGGCGTAAGCCCATGTAAACAAGCAAGCAGATGAAAATCCTCTAAACTTTGAACCAAAAGTACTTTCATAAAGGTTTTATACCACTGAGTAACATGAGAGAAAACTAGCAACAGGGAAGGGTGTTTGGTTAAATTGTGGGAGAGCCATCTTTCCCTTGGAAAAAAGCCTGAGGCAGATGGGTGACCGGGTTGGTTCTGAGTTGGGAATTGAACTTTCCAAGACTCCGGAGGAAAGGGGAGGAGGTTTTTCACCATTTTCCACATTTGTCTCATTAAGAAGAGTTGTTTGAACTTAAACCCATGTCCCTTTCCTGATGGAGGGATGGGCAAGATGGGAAACACGCTCTCATTTTATTCAGCCTCTTAATAAATGTTTTTCCCATTGGTTGTGTCTAAAAGCACAGAGGAGTGGCTGCCTCCAGTGAAACAAAATGGCGCTGCCTCAGTTAAAATGTTTTCCATGCAGTGCTGCTCAGGTTGCTCTTTCCCAGCACTACGATTTTCAACAGCAGAAGGTCTATACATGCTCATGCTTTAGTACAGATTCCTCCTATAGCAGGTTCTTTCTAGGCAAGCTGTTGTGGCTTTAGGATGAATGGAGAGATACTAGCTCCTTTAACCGTATGGAGATCAAAAGTGCAGTGTAGTATCTTTGGCACATGATCCTTAATATCACCTTGGTGGGCTGATGTTATAAAACAAGACCTACCGATTGACTAATGAAGTTAGCCAATATTTTTGCCTCTTGTGGTGGAAAACACATGTAACCTATTTCCTTGTAAACCGGATGGTGATTAAAAAGCTGACAGTGTTTACATGAATAATCCCTCGTCTGATCTTTGAGTTCTCTTGATCTTGTTAACAAGTCTGAATTAATAACGGCAGAGAGTTACCTACCAGGATGCCAAAACATCCTGGTGTCATGATATGTTGCAGTGGATGTTTATGCGGTTACAAGGTGGGAGCCAAGGCGCCGTTGTCCAGGGTGGTGCTGATACATTACCTATTTACATGCTGAGTTACGTTCTGTTTAAAGGCATCTACAGCTTGCGTCTGATTGGCAGTCTGGCCACGCTTGAGTGAGGAGTTACGGTAAGGATATCCATTAGCTGATGATAGCTGGAAAGGTAAAAACAGAGTCAGTGTTCCCAGGAAAGGAGAAAGCTTTATCAAAGAAAAGGAGAGTGATAGGAGAGTGATAGTAGTAGGTGAATTATGGCCTGGAAGCTTTTGGTCATGATGAGGTGCATACCAAAGAAATGTTCTTCAGGCAAACCTGTATCCATGGGGCTCAGTTATGGTATAGTATTCTTTTTCTTGTTGATGAGGAGGTGAGGCTGATTATTGCTGCCCTTTTCTGGCCTTATTTCCATATTTAACTGTTGTGACCAGATCCAACTAAGTTTTGAGCCGACTACTTGTTACATAGCCCTGCAAACTCCACAGATCATCCCTCACTCTGAAGAAGGGGGAGGGAGGGGTAAAGAAGAGGATGACCAGGGGCACAAGACTAACCTCTTCTTGCAAGTGTCCGATGTCTATTTCCCAGGGAGCTCCGCGGAAGATTTCCATGGGCGGTTCCCAGCCATTGTGGAATTTGGGGATGTAGGTGGGGATGTTTGCTTCTCGGGGCCATTCAGCTCTAGGACATGAAGCAGGGAATATGTGGTGAGATTCACAAGGAACATGTCTCTGATGGCACATTAGGAAGAAACAGGGGCATCAGGGCATCCTTGACCCTCTGACACTGCTATAAAATCAAGTATCCTGTCTGCCTTTCTCAAGAGCTTGGGGAACCTGGTGAGGTAGCAGCTCTATCCTCACCTGGATCTGGTCCATGTCTCTCCCAGGGAGTCCCAGAGATTTATCTCTTTTGGTGTCAGGTGTCCTCTGAGGAAGTCTGTGGCATCTTTAGAAAGAAGTGGGCTGATGACAGACCTGGCAAGCTCAGGGCCACCACAGCTACTGATGATCTGGATCACATACAAACACACACAAATATGAGAGATTTTGCAGGAAATGTTCCAAATAGCAAACCAGCACATACACAAAGGAACAGAAATCAAAGACAGAAAAATCAGTGGCTCTGATCCTTTGGAGTCTCTATGTCTGCCCACTCCAAAGAAAGTCAATGTACCCCTCCATGGCGTCTACCTCTAAAACTAGGCTACTTCATGTTAGACTTGCACCTCCAAAGTTGTCCTCCATGCCTTCATATGTAGGGTGAGGTTTCACAACACAGATGAACTAAATTAATGGTTTGCTGCCACTTGAAGTACTGATAGTAGTTGATTGGCAGATTTTATTAAGAAAAGGCAAATAGACAAATAAGACATATAGTTCCTGACTAAGTTCTCCAAGGTATAAAATGAAAGCCAGAGGGCAAGCCATCATGCCAAGGGATGGTCTGACTCCCACTGGCAGCAGCTAATTCTTAGATCAGCTCAGTTCTCTCAAGAAACATCAACCTAAATCTTTGAAGACTGGACAGTTCAGAGGAACATAAGAATTTTTCTGTTGGAGTCAAAGCAAGGTCTGATGTAAAAATTAGCTGCTGTTAGAGACAGGATACATCACAAGCTGGCACTTTAAAAAATGGAAAATCACTTGGTATTTCTGTGTCCCTTCTGGCTTCTTTTTCAAATTGGGATTTCTGCTTCCTATTTTCAGTGCAAATACTAAGCCATGTTTGCTTGACGATTGGGCAGATTCCCAATGGGAATCATAGCTGTCTGGCACGTTTGTTCACAGTAAGTCTTTATTAATGGGATGGAAAGATTCATATTTGCTAGGGTTTGTCTATTTACTTCAAGCTGGCTATCAGATCAGAGGCCAGAAACACTGGCATTGTTGCTTCTAGACTTTACTGGGAGAGCTTTAGCCAGTTGTGAGCAGCCTTCTAACTGTTCCGCGTAATCTAGCTGCCTGTAAGTGCAAAAGCAATGTTAGAAATAACAAATGAGTTCACAGTGAAACCTGTGAATAAGATTTACCAGTTCCAGCGGCCCAAATAGGAAATGCACCAACTCTGAAGCGCTGGGGTTCTGGATGTGCTTTCTCAGTTTGGCCTGAAAAGAGAAAGGAAACCCAGTTTAACCCTAACCTGATTTTTGCCTTCTCTTTTCTGTCACATGGAGGGATTGTTGCTGACCGATACTTGCTATAGTTAAAAACACAGGGCAAGGAAACTTTAAACAGTGCACCTGAAATCAGGGAGGAAGAGTAAGTGATTGGGGAGTATGAATCATCCAGTTTTAGATAATTTTTATTTTGTGTCTGTTTCTAAGTGTGTTGAATTTCAGGAGGGGTGGAGCACCTACTCTGTTAAAATCAGTCCCTTTTGAAGCTATTTTGAGCAGAAGCAGAAAGCCTTGGCTTATTTTGAAAGTCTTAGTGAGGAAGGGCCAGGCCTGTTGCTTCTGACTCTGCTTGCAAAGTTGAAAATCCCACTAGTTCCCATGAATGAAAACAACAGAACAAGTGTTTTGCGGAGTCCCTTGGCAAATTGCTGATGGGGAAAAACCTCCACCAAGGTCTTGCCTGCAGCACCTAGAGCTGCCCTGGCCACTAAAATGCTTGGTATTTAGAATAGACTGTGGTGGAATGGAGCAGCAGATGCTTAGGATTACTTTACTGTAAGAATTGCATTTCATTAACAGCGATCAGCTAAGCTGTGGTGAGACACCACTTCAGTTTGTGCTTCCTTTCAGCTCTTTCTTGTGTCTTGTGCTACTGGCATTGCTGCAGTGGAAAACAGCCTCCCTCCTCCCTACTGAAATGCAAAGCATTTTAAATGCTGGTGATTAAACATTAATGTGGAGTGGAAAGTGTGAAATAATTGATGCCAACAAGGTGACTAAATGAAACAGCGCTTCACAAGGACTTTGCAGCCATGTGACATGTGACAGCAGTCCTGGGGTGGACATGGCAGTGCTCCACCACTAATTCCCCGCTCTCCTTCTTACTGGCCCCCAGCCTCTTGCCAGGAGAGCAGCTGCTCTTTGTGTGTTTGTGGATGTGCGGGCAGCAAAGTCCAGGGCCCAAGTGCAGGGAATGAATTTCCTATGTGTTCACTCCCACGCTGCTGACCGGGGAGCAGCAGCGATGCTGAGCTCGGGGGCTGTGAGCCAGAGCATTTGCACAGATCCGCAGAGGGTAACGGGCGCTTGCGGCTGCGTTGCGTGATTGGCAGTGGCCAGGGTAGGGCACTAACTCCAGCGCAGACCTGTGCTGTGGCTGAAGGTTTGGCTGACCGCACTGACTCCACTGTATTTATCTCAGCTGTCTCAGCGGTCAGAAAGGGCTGGGATGCAACAGCCAGGCTGGGTTTTCTTTATGCTTGGAGAATCCTCAGCTGCTTCTTCAGGGAAGCTAACACCTTGCTGTGGATGTGTGGCATAGCCATAGCAGGGTGCCTGATTGGTTTGTGTGAGAGCAGTGATTGCTGGCCAGAGCTGACACCTCCAAGACTCACTTCTGGTCCTAAGCAGGCAAAAATTATGCGTATTTGCCTCTCAAAGAAAAGCTTGGAGTTTGGTGTCCTGCATTAATGTTGTTTACACTCTCTGTGGTTTCCTTACTAATAACTTCTCAGGAAGGATCTTGTTAGGCTGTGTTCGCTTGGCAAGTTTGGTCAGAACAGACAGAATTTCCTTCTGCCTCATTAACCTTCTGGTCTCACATGCTTCACTCAGCAGAGCTGGCAGCACTGGGAACATCTTTATGCTCCCGCTTTTCATTCTCTTCCTAAGACAGCAGCTCTTCCCGGAGAGAAGGAGAGAGGGCAGGAACCTCAGGGCAACGGGGGACATCAGTTGTTGTTAACCAAAGACTTTCCAGGACCTTGGCTGAGGCAGCTTTACAGCTGCTCTATAAGAATTGGATGAGAACAATTTAAAGTAGATAAGACTTATTTTTCTTTTTTTATATTTGCAGTCCTCAGTTTTATGCTTTGTAGGGATAACAAGGACTACAGCTCTCACAAAACTACCCAGATTTTTAAAGGCCACAAGTAGAAGCAAATATCTGGAGTGGGGATGCCTATACAAGCCTTTGCACAGCTATCAGTAAGGTGGGCATGGCAGTTCTTGGCTCTGGAAGCTCACAGCTTCACAAATGTTTTAAGTCAGGTCTGTATCTGAAAAGAGATCCAGGCATTGCAAGGCCCCTGGCTGCTCAGTCCCATCCTGGATTTTATGCTTGTAGTTTCAGTTTAACAACTTGACCCAAGAAACCTGCACAAGCCTGACGAAATGTTCTGGATTCTCAAGAATCTGGAATTCACACCTTTGTCCCTTGATAGTGTTTGCAGTTCAAATTTCACTTTAAATGCTTACTACTGTGGTATATGGGAAAAAGCCCTGTCACTGCATGGGACGAAAATACCCTCTGTGTCTTACCAAGAGGTTAAAAGCCAGTTTGGTTTTCTGGAAGCAGTCGATGAACTCGGCCTCGCTTGGGGGTCTTGCTCGAAGAGTCAGCATGCCCTCTTTTATGAGAAGGTGGAAAGAAAGACACTTTAATTAAAGCATCCCTTTTCAGGAAAGTTTCATCTTGCTGGCATGCAAAAGACACAGCAATAAAGGGTGCTGAGACTAGAACTACTAAAAATCAAGGGTTCAAGAAAACCAAAAGTCTTTCTCTGTGTTGGAGGCTTTGCTAGGCTCTGTGTGCTCTACAAGAGGTCCCCACAGACCAGTGAGACCTTCCAAACTCGTGTAGCTGCTGTTGGATCCATAGCCATGCTGCTGCATCAACCTGGCCTTTCTGGGGTGTAAGCTGAAGTGTCCTCCCAACCTTCATCTGTGCCTGTGTGTTCCCCATTTGTTCTAGCTGTTGCACTGTACCTGCTGGCCCTTTCTTCTTGTTCTTCTTCCCTTTCTTTCTTTGGTTGAGCTGTTTGAATGCCTCTGCAGCCTTCTGAAGCCTGGCAACAAACACTTCAATGTCATCCAGAGTGCAGTTCAGGATTTGCTGTGGAGACAGAAATGCAACAAACCGAGGTGAAAGCCCAAATTGCACACAGCTGGGAAGCCCAAATCCCAGAGCATGCCGGTCAGTCCCTGCTTCATTTCCTGGAAGAATGCACAGGAGAGGGGAATCCAAGCATGAAGTTAAGCTGCATTCATCACTTCCCAAACACAAAGCTGTGCCTGGTTGTGTGCTGTACTTAATCAGTGTGACAAGTGACCCCTGCTAATGGACGTCTGGAAAATAACCCCAAGACTAGACCGTGGGCTGGGGACGAGCAGACCATCTGAAATCAGCAGAGCTACCTCAGGTCAAAGGAGATTGTAACTGACCCAGTGATGGAGCTTTGCTTTTGTTCACCTTATATTTATGAAGGGTAGATATTAGTTTAACAATGACTAGATTATGCCTAAAATGTCTGCTCATGGAGGAGCCCCTTGCTTCCTTCCTCTCTTCTCCCTCTCCTTCATGCCTATTGACTGTGCACCATTCTTGTTACCAACCGTTTCTTTTTCAATCTTCTGTGCTAAAATGGCTCGGGACTCCTCGTGGTCATGAGCGCTGGAGCCTCGTCGTTCATAGTCTGCAAACAAGGGAGGGAGAGAAAAATGTATTTACTATCAGAGGTTGAAATAGGCTCCATTAAATGCTGGGACCCATGGGATGGTAACTCCCAGATTGGTTGTTTATTCTGGGTTATGAGAGCACCTCAGGAGATCAGAAAGGAACAGGAGGTGATCAAAGTTGCCAATTAAATCTTCCAAGGTCACAGCACCTGCCCACCAACGCTCTGTGTCGATATGCTGCCTGTTTTCACATACAAGCAGTGAATCAATCATGAAGAGCATACAGCTGCCAGCTGCAGGCAGAGACCTGCAAGCCCCAGTCCCCAGCTGCTGTGAGTCACTAACTCCTTTGCCTTTGCATCTAGGCTGACTTACGCCTGCAGAGGACCTGAAGAGCCACCATGTGCATTGCAGAGCACTCCACATGTATGTAAAGTGCGATTAGATTAACTCCTACTCTCTCTTCTAACCCACATCTCTCCACAGGCGCCTTGCTTGGCCCAGAGGTACCAGTTTAACTAAATAGTTAAAGAAACAAGACCTGGAAGTGAGTGCAACTGTCACAGGCTAGAAAGCAGCGTGCCAGGAGTTCTGCGTGACTGATGTTTAGGCAGGCCCGTGCACAAATCAGCATTTTTGTACAAACTTGCGTGCGGTCTCTCAAGTGTTTTTAATGGGTATTAAAAAAAATACTTCTGCAATGAAAAAACAACACAGGCACCTCCCAGCTTCCAGAAGACAGTCACTCAGTGAGGGGGTGATATTTTGGTGAGAACAATGGCTCAGGTGGCCTCTTGTGAAAAGAATAATGTGTCAGCTTGGTGAAATGGGGTTTGAAAGGGCTGGCTCAGCAGGTGTTTGGACAGCAGGATTTATAAAGTGGGAGAACTGGGGAAGCAGTTTTGGCAAAGGACTGTGAAAAATGTATGTCATCTTTAAGTGTTAAGATGAGGTGATTAGTTTTGACAGGTTTTGCAGGAAAAGCAATAAGGCGTGTTTCAAAGGAGAAACGATCTCAGCAGTCAGGCATCATTCAAGGCTTTCTCATGTCACCTGCTTTCATGACAGACTCTGTATTCTCACATCCAGAAATCCTGCCTGGCTAAATGCCCTGCTCTGCTGGTGTAAGCAATGGACTTAAAGCTTTCTCCTAAGCATCCTGGGAAAAGCAGAGTTGAGGGTGGCTGTTTCCTGAAAAACTGCTGTGCATCAGAATATAGATATTTATACATAGTCCAGCTCTGAAATATAGATCTTAATTTTCATTATGCAAAGCTGGACCTGAAACAAGCTGCCAGATCAGCTGCTTGGCTTCAGGTGCCATCCCAGGGAAATGAGTGTGGTTTTTTTTCTTTTCAGCTGGTGTTTGGAGTTTCTTATTGTACCCTGATTACTCGTTTTCCTTGAATTTAGAAATTAATCCCAAGAGATGGTGGCACAATAGGCAGTGATTAAAAAGGCTTAAATTTTGCTCATCATTTTAGTCAGTTTGAGGTTTTGTCAGAGAAGGAGCTTATTTCTGTTACTTCTTTCTCCAAAGAGAAATACAAGTTTTTTCAAGCCAGCTCAAACAGGCTGAAGTCAGGATGGTTTTGGAGTAAGATTTTAGATTAGTACATGAGAGAGTACATGAGAGCTCAGATCGGCGTTTCCACGCTCAACTCTAGGAGAATTCATGTAAACTACTTGATTTCTGAGGGTGAAATCTTGGCTCCCGTGAAGTCAGCAGGGCCAGGAATTTGCCTTTCTGACCAGGTCTGTCTTGTCTGTTTAAGATCACCAGTGCCTGGTCCAAATTTCATATGATTGCTCAGTTTCATGAGGGGCTTTTGCCTCATTTGAGCATTTCAGCGTCCCCAAAATTCAGGTGTCATTAAAAGGAGTTTCTAGGAGCCTTGATTTATTGAGCTGTCATTGAGCAGAAGGTGTCTACTGCTAGCCCAGTGTGTAGAAATGTTTGCTGTGGCACAATTTTTAGGCATTTATAAAGCACAGCCAGGGATAAACCAAAATATTGTGCCTTTGGTATGTGTCTGTGTTACATTATAACACAGTGAAAAAACACTGGGCTTCTGTGCACCCAGCAGTATGGGGCCTGAAATGACGACAGGCCATTTCAGGAGGGTCAGCTGTCCAGGCTAACAAATCCCCTGTCCCCACGACAGACTCGCTGAGCGCTCCCAGTACCTGGATTGTGCTGGGAAGGGGGTGCCACGCGGTTCCTATTCATCCCTGAGCCTCGCGTGTCGTGCTGGATTGGGATGGGAGCTGGCCCTTGCGGCGGTGGGAGGATGGATTGTCTTTGCTTGATCTTTTCTTGGTTTGCTCTGCAAGGGAAGCAACGCAGAACAGCCCCGTCAGTGGCTGCCGATCCCGTTTCTGAGAGATTGGTGTGCGAATGCACCATTGTGAATGGGGCGCTTTTTTTTTCTTTTTGTAACTCCCAGCTGTGTCCTGCAGTACTTACTTGAGTGTCTGTGGCCGTATCTTCTTCCCATGCTTGTGGTCTGCCAAGGCACTTTCTATGTCCTCGTGAACCATCTCCGCCTCAAAGATAAAACAGAGATGTTTTTAATGGCTTTCCTTTGGAAAGGATCGAGGGCTCTAAGTGAGCAACGGAAGAAGGGGCTGGCAGGGAGCTATTTTGTTCTGTTTCACACTGGCAAGGAGGGCTTTGCTCACCTCCACCTCGTCACAGTTGAAGAAGTGGATGTCAGGTTTGTGCTGCTCCGAATCCTGACACACCAGGAGGAGTATGGAAGAATAGCGCATCTGATTCAGCACTGTTTGGCAGTGCTGGACTGTTGGCAGTGGGAAGTCCTCCAGCTCCTCCTGGAAGACAAAAAGGAAGGGGTCAGGCAATGGAGACCTATTGAACTGATGGGGAATGGTTCTGTGTACAAACTTCTGGGATCCCTCTTTGAGGAGAGAGACCTGGCAGGACTTGTGCCTCTTGGCAGTGGCTTGCTGCGCTCTTCAGAAGATACATGTCGAGGTTTGCAGAGGGGCAGTGGCTTGGGACTGCGGAATAGGAGAGAGGTGGATAGCAAACAGAGGTGAGCTCTTGTTCTCCTCCGAGTCCTGAATACGGGGCCTAGTGTGAGACCTCAATAACTTGAGCTTCGTTGCTCAGACCATTATCTTACTGCTCTGCTTTACCTGCACCAGTACACTTATCATGCATCCCAGCAGACCACTGGGAGGAAAGATGCTTTCTGTGAGGGGCTTACCCTCCCACTGTCTCCTTGGATGACCTTGGGCTAATATTCTTTAGTTTCTCATTGCTAAAATCAGGGCAGCACCATCTCTCTCCCACTGTCTGGCTGCTCTTTTACCTCAGATTAGGTGCCTTTTGTGTGTGTACATGTATCACCTGCCAAAACGGGGCACTGTTCTTGGGCAGGGAATCCTGCATATTATTTTAATGCAAGTAATAGGTCCTTCCCTCTCTGCTCATCCTTTATGCAGATCTCTGTGGACCTGTAAGTCTGCATCACTCCCACAGAAAGCAGTTTTACTGTTGGCCTGGAGCACAGCTCCAGGTATCTTTCACCTGGCGTATCTGTGCTCTGGAACTGTGAATAAACCATCCCACACCTACCTGCCCTTTGAATTAGAGTCAGACAGCCCCCACACACCCAGGAGTGGATTTTGGTAGTGATTCACCCTTCTTTGGGTTCCTTAGAAATGGCCCTCCCAGGCAGAATGGGAAGGGCACGCACTGCGTGTCAATCCGTGGGTAGCTCTTGCAGAGCTCTGGGTACCTGCGACTCGCAGTCCAGCAAGCGGATGGACTTGTCATTCACTTGCAGCAGCATCTCCTGTGTCCAAATCTTCTCTTTTGAGTTGAGCAAGATGAGTTTTCGGATAGCATCATCCACTGTCACGATGGACTCGCTCTTGTCCATGATGAAGGTGGCCAGGTGCTGAAGTTGGAGGTGAAGGAGGAAAAAACAGGTTAAGAAGCTTTGATGGTGTGTGGACTATAAATCAGTCGTGAAACCAGCTCTAAAGGACTGAACTACTGTTTGCTCTTTTAGAGCACAGGCATGGAAGAGTCGCTGCAGAAGGTGTAAGTTCTGGTTGTAATATAAGCCTCTCCATAGTGGTGAAAGATTAGGGTTTCATAACACAGCAAGAGTTTTCGTAACGAGTTTCACCACTTGCATATTTATCTCATCATATGTCAATTCTAGCAGCTCTGGCCCCTGTCCAGCAGCGCGTGTTTGCAAATGCTTTGTACACGTGAGTTAGTCCTCTGGTTTCTGAAACTGGCTTGGAAGTTTAAATACAGTAGTTAAGCCTCACTTGCCAAGCTAAAAGCACTTGCATTTTGCTTGTCTCATGTAGCAGATCTCCCTGTGTGGAATTTGTCCCAGGCGAAGAGCTTACACAAGCCAGGGGCAAATGTTGGTCCTCTTGTGCTGAGGTGGGATCCACGCGATATGTTGGCTTTGGCCAGGTCCCCTGTCCCAGGTAATTCAACAGGCAGCACAGCCACAGCGGAGACCTTCTGTGCTGCAAAGCTATTTAGTCTGCCAGGTGCTGCAAAGCTATTCAGTCTGCCAGACAGCTCCAAACCTGACGGCTGACTGCACCAGCCCTTCAATCCCCTCATGTTACCCCCCAAACTACCCAAATCAGACCTCAAGGTAGTGAAAATCGGTGTCGCTAACTGTAAGAAGGGATTATTTTTTTTGCTACTTGCCTCTGTTCTGCACTGTGACTTTGCTGGATTACCCTGGTTTTCCTCCCTCCACTTGTCCTATAAACCCAGCCTAGTGCTATTCCCACTACCAGCCTGGCTTCCATGCTATCCTCCCCTCTTGCGGTGCCTTGTGTGTGCGCTCAGGACAGGAGCACCTCAGGTAGGGTGGTAGCGTCCTGGACATGACTGCACTCGCGTCCTTCCCCACCCCTGCTCTAACCTGTGTCCTGAAGCATGTGGCGATCCAAGCCTTGTGCTTGGCACTCGTGTTTGAGCTGCAGCTGCAGGCTTTGGACTGCTCTTGGGGCTCCATGCGAGGGGAATGCTACGCAGGGCAGGGAGGCAGCTGCAGGAAGAAGCGTGTTGTATCCAAATGGTGTGTGTGCCTCCCCAGCAGTGGGTGAAGGCCACTCCAGAAATCCAGGTAACTCATCTCCACTCTGATCAGCAGCCAGTGAGAGCAAGCACCGCTCTCTGTGGATGGGGAGAACATTCGTCTGCCAACAGAGGGGACTGCAAGGCAGGAGAAGCTGCAAGCTTTGCCTGCTCAGAGCAGCCAGGCAGTTGTCCCTGTATGAATGACAGCGCAGCCAGGCCATGCATTCAGGTGACAGCAGGGCAGGGAAAAATTCATGAAGGAAAAGGAAATGGTTCTGTTTCACCTTGTTCCCTCTGCTGCCCTACTGTCTTCCTGGTGAGGAGACGGGAAGGAGGACATGCCTGGCTGGGAAAGCAGCTGAACCCTTTCCCTGTCATAAACAAACTTCCTCCAGGGGAGAAAGCTGGGGAGGTTTCAGGTGGGCAAGTTCGAGGCCTGACCAAGGTGCCTGTGCCACAGCTGGACGTAGGGCCTGCTTCTGGGAGGCTTATCAGGCCAGGTCCCAGCTCTTTTTCTCTTCCCTGGAGTATCTATGGCCCATCCACAAGCATGACACTCTCACCCCACTTCCCCTACTCAGTAGCATTAGGGTAAAAAGCACATTGCTGCTGAATCCACTGTGGCTCAGCTGAAGAGCAGATTAACCTTTCTGGCAGGGAGACCCAGGTACTGTGGGTAGAGGACATGCATTACACGTGTTTACTGTGGGGCTGGGGGTAACAGTATGGCAACGCCAGAAACAGTTCTGCCAGGCATTTAGTGTTTCTGTGGATGGCAGCCGTAGAAGCTCCTGCTTGGGGCCTGATTTCAAAGCAAGAGCTGGAAAAATAGGATGCATTTAAAGCAAGACACAAATTGGAATGTGAAATTTGGAGAGGCTCTTTGCTGTCTTTAGTACAGGGATGAGTTTAGCTGGCTTTTCTCCCTCTGATTGCTTGTCTTTGTGCCTTCTCCCAGTGATCAGACATAACCTTTTTAGGGTTCAGGTAGTTTATTTCTGGTGCTTACTCTTTGTTACAGTGGTGCTGTATCAGGGGTCAGGGTCCAGACATGGCACAAAAAGACAGCAGTCTTTGTCCCAGAAGACTAGCAAGCAAGAGCTACAAAACACAAGACGAGAAGGGGAAAAGGCTGGGGGAAAATCTGTCTGTTCCCAGTAGCTGTCTCAGCTCGTGGGCTGGTTAATAACCCACTGGGTAGTGTCCACAATCAGCATATGCCTCAGAGGGCAATGGAGGAGATAGTTGCTTGGGGAGGAAGTCCTTTTTTACCTGTAAAAGCCCAGGGAGATGCAAAGGGGGAAGCTGGACTAAGAGGCAGCAAAGGCTGACCCTACTCCAGCACCAGGAAGGGAACCAGCACTGTACTGCAGTGGAAATAGGTTATGAAGGGACCTTGGAGAGGCCATGAATGTTGAGGTCTGACACAGACCAGATGGACCTGAGGAGGATCTGCATACTGAGAACACGGAGCGTTGGATGGTTGTGTTGAAGCATGGGCAAGAAATATTGTTGCAATCTGCTCCAGACAAGCTGGGTGCAGGGGGAAAGGCTCAGATTAAAAGCACTCCCTGACAGGCAGAAAGGGCTGAGACTTTAAACATGATGGTTGATGGTGGGAATTAGGGGTGGACAGTGGGAATTAGGGGTGGACAGGATTTGTGGTGACCAATCTGTTGTTGAGGTGGTTGTTGGATAATTCACGAAGACCGGAAAGAGCAGAGAAGAGGATTAACGTCACAGAGTGTGAGACCCAATCCTGTGTTCATAAAACAAAGGTACTGGGTGAGGCACTGTCTAAATAAAACTCCTGGCAAGTATTTGAGCTGAAAGCTGAGATTAGCCATGCAATCAGATATGAAAAACATGCTCAGGTATATGTTACTGTAATTGTAAAATAGTGCATGAAAAGGTATGCACAAAGTCAATATTATCTGTGTAGAGGTGACAAACTCTCTGCTTTCTGAGCAGTGAAGAGAACCGGTTTATCCCTGATGACTGGCACTCTTATCTGCTCTATTATTTTAACTGCCAGGTTTACAATCTTCATAAATTCCTTTGTTGTTTACTGTTAAGTAAATTAATTTTCATGGAGGGGAAAGCTACTTGTCTAACTCAGACTCATTAGAATATTTTTTTCTTTTCCGTTTTCTTTAGATACGGGTGAAGTGAGAGGGAGCGAAGCTTGCTGCTGTCTTTGATTTATCTCATTAAAACCCCTTTTCATCCAGATGGATATTCAAACATAGTAGCTTTGTTGTAAGAATGGGCAATGACTCCATCCATTATTAAACTTTGATCAGCTTATAGATTACTTCAAAGGGTGTAAAATGCCTCTTGTGAGGAAAACTCTTCCTACATCACTGCCTGCATCTGAAATCCTGTTTGCCTTGGTCAAAGTTCAAGGTAGAGGCTCACAAATGGGTGGCATATGGCATAATTAATGAAGAATTCATGTATGTGTCACTGTTTAAAGTTCCTTCTCTGCTGCAATGAGTGACTTTATTTGGTAGGAGTCACTGATGGGGAAGGCTGGCAGGACCACCAATGGGGCAGTTGGCCATCAGGTTAGTTTCTCCGATGGAAACCAGGGCCTCTTTCCAAACAAGCATTTTGAAAAGTCTAAACTTAGTTTTTAAGCAACTGAACAAGCTCCTTTGTTTCTGTGTACTTAAGCTCTGTGCTGGACTTGGGTGTTAACCCAGCAAAGACTCAGGTGTTAACCCTACCTACTAAATATGAACCTCATAAAGTGTCTTCCTTTCTCGCCTTGCCCAGTTTTCAGTGATGAATTGTCCAGCCGGCCTCAGACAGGCACTTCTGTTGCTGTGGTGGCCTGCACTGGCATGTTGTGTCCCAGGAATCGCCGGGCTCAGGATGGCCAGGCTGGCTCCTCTTTTTTAAGTGCATAGTCTGTGACACTGGGAGATGAATTTGACTTTAATGCCTATCATGGTTGAAGGGTTTTGAATTACTTGAGAGGACACAGTAGCTGAGGGAGAGCTGAAAGATAATAGTCGATGTGGTCTCTGTTGTTTGGGCAGATGAGTTCCTGTAACCACCTGTCTGTCCATGCTGATCAAGAAGGGTTTGAAGCATGGGGTGACAAGAGAGACAACAGCTTCTCCATTTCTTGTTTCCTTGTACAGAATTTCCCTCGCCTTTTTAACATCTTTTTTTTTTCCCCGTTCTCCTCTCCCCAATTACTCAACAGTTTAACTTACTGAATCTTGATTATTCAGAAAGGAAATATATTTTTGATAAATGATGGTTTTATATGGTAAAATTGATAAATTTAAAGTAGAAAAGAGGCCCATATGTAATCAAACCAACTTCACATTCTTTAATAATCATTTTTGTCCTCCCTTCTTGTCAACCATTTCCCATCTGCAGGCTGTAATGACAGAAAGTGTCTAGCTGAACGACTGATTAGTGCTGGCTCTACAGCAAGTCCCTGAGACAGTGACCTCCTGAGCACGTGTCACACCTCATAGCAAGAGGACAGAGTTGCTGACCTCAAAATGTCCCCAGACACTGGTCCTTGATGTAGCCCAGCAAGGGTAAGGGGACAAGCCAGTAACTTCTGAGCCTTTGGTACAGGTCGGCACACTGGACATGCAGAAGCAGTGACTGGTCTCTGTTTCTCTCCCCATCCTCAAAGCAGTTTGTCTAATGTGGATGTCTCTCCCACTCTTCAATTCAAAGAAATGTGTGGGATCTAGGGGAGGGACAGGTAAATAAATGGTCAGGGATGGCCTGCGTCATGCAACGTGGGAGAAGCCATCAAAATCTGGACGCAGCTGTGTTATGGGATTTGAGCATGATTCAGAGTTGCGCCACGGAAAGCTGTTTGTAGCCTTGTGGGAGGATCTGTGAGCTATACCAGAGTCTATTTGCTTGGACTTTCAAATAATGCCATACCATAATGCTCAGGGGGATGGAACACCTCTCCTGTGAGGACAGGCTTGAGAGAGTTGGGGTGGTTCAGCCTGGAGAAGAGAAGGCTCCGGGCAGACCTTATTGCAGCCTGCCAGTATTTAAAGGGGGCCTATAGGAAAGGTGAGGACAGACTTTTTAGCAGGGCCTGTTGCGATAGGACAAGGGGTAATGGTTTTAAACTAAGAGCGGGGAGATTTAGACTAGATAGAAGGAAAAAATTTTTCACAAGGAGGGTGGTGAAACACTGGCCCAGGTTGCCCAGAGAGGTGGTAAATGCCTCATCCCTGAAAACATTCCAGGTCAGGTTGGACGGGGCTCTGAGCAGCCTGCTCTAGGTGAAGATGTCTCTGCTTATGGCAGGGGGTTGGACTAGATGGCCTTTAAAGGTCCCTTCCAACCCAAACTATTCTGTGATTCTACTATGGTAACGGGACAACTTCTGCTCTCCAAAGCAAGCAGTTTGAGAGGAGCCATGGAGAAATAAAACATGGCTGGAGAGCTGGTATTGCTTTTAGACAGAGCAGGCAATATGTGAGAGGAGAGAAAGGGGAAGGATCCAGTTCAGTGTGAAACCTCTGACTCTTAGGAAGAAGTGGGGTCAGTCTTGGCAGAGGAGTTGTCTCAGGACTTGTGCTGCTCTCATAGTCCTTTAGTTTATCTCCTCCAAGTGTCTGTGGTGAAGAAATTCCTGTGCTCCACCTGTGTATGCTCTTTACTTCCCTACCCTTTTGTGCTTGAAGGAATCAGATGAGAAGCCCAGTTGACCTCAACTTCAGTAGCGTGTTATATGTGATGGAGAGGACCTGTGTGGTCTCAGCCCTTGGGTCCCGGCTGGCAGGACCATGGGGACCCGCAGCTCGAAGAGGGAAATTACAGCAGATGGCTAAGTCTGAAAGTGTGTTCTACAGTCCAGGAGCTGGATATAGTGAGTGCACCCAGCTCAGGGGGAAGCTCAAGAGGCAAGTTTATCTACAGGCATTGGGGAGCCAGAAACTGTGGTAAAGAAATACGAGGTTTCAAGCAGCTTTGCTGTTTGCCTCTCCCAGGGTGTGAAAAGCAACACTTGCTTATTTTAAGAAGGTTCCCAACTACTCTTTCAGGACAGGACAAATGAAACACATTGCATTACCAGCATCTATCATTGACGTTGGCCTTTCAGCCCCTTAACGTTTCGTTGCATACTCACCTGTACGTGGTACTGTGAAGTCTCATGCATAATGATGTTTGAGTTGGAGTATTTTTTCCTTTGTTCTGCACAAAAAAGAAGAAAACAAGCTTTCATTATAGTGGCTGTTTATCAGTATATCAGGGTCTGAGAATTATAGCGCTCATGATGGTGTGCTGCAGTCTTTCTCATAGTCTCTGAGCTTTCAGCTTCAATTGGTGTATTGGGAATAATAAGACATATTAACGATATTAACTTTTGTCACAAGGATTGGCAAATTGGGTGTGTAGGGTACACAATGCTGCTGATAGTTTGATTCCTGGACGTCAGCACCATTTGTGGAGGAAATTAAACCTCGCTTAAAGGAAAGCCCCAGATAATGAACGATTAGGGAAGCTCTCGGAAGAGGGCTTGGGAGGTGAGGAGTAGGTTGAGAAGGCTGGCAGAAGGCTATGACATTCATGTGGCAAGAATAACAAAATCCAACCACAACCCACCAGTTTGGACATAACAGCCCTTTTAATTGTCCTCCAAAAGAAACCCTTTGCACTACCATAATGTTTTTAGTTGGCTTTCTTGCATTTTCTAAATGCAAGAAAGATTCCTAAAAATTTCTTAGAAAACTAGAGGGCTGTAGTTACAGCAGGAAGGGCTGTAGGGACGAAGGCCAGCCAGTCAGAACCTGAGTTTCTTGTACAGTATTTTTGAGGCAACAAATCTTCATTACTTCCTGCGTTTCTTACTGGAAAGTGGCATTAAAGAGCAATTGGGAAAAAACTGCTTGGAATTTCAGGAGGCTTTTGAATATAATCCTATAAGAATTTGCCCGGCCTACTCTTACTGTTTTGGTACTTGTCCAAGGATTCCTTATAAATACTGTGTTTGAATAGCAGAGGAATAACTATCCAGGCCCAGAGTGATCTGGGAGCATCCAAACTGAAAGAATCTTCCTCACCAGCAGAGGACATCCTCTGATCTCTGGTTTGCTTAGAAAATGCAACGGCAGTTTTATATGTTTTCACCCTTCTTAAAGCCTGTGTTAGAATATCCTGTCCTCTGTAGCAAGTTACAGCCAAGGGGATTTCATAACACAGCAAAGGTTAGGGCTCCTTGTGTTTTAAAGAAGTATATATTAATCTTAGTTTATTTGTGGCTTACTTCAAAGCTCTCTTTAATGCCTGCTAGGGGATGTTGGCTTCTCTCTTTTTTCTCCCCTTTTCTTTGAGCATGGAACATGTGGCCTCATTTAACAAATTTCACATTAAAGAGACTAGCACCTAGAAAATGAACATTCTTGTAGGAACTCATTCAGTTAGTTTCCAAATTTATTTAAAAAAAAAAAAAGGACCTTTTGGTGAAGTGGTGCAAGACCTAGGTAAAATTTTCCAAAATGGTTCCTTATTTTATATCATTAGTTGCATGTCACACTTTAATTGACAACACTCCCCAAAGACTTACAAGAAACACTGGTAGTATTTTAGATGGCTAAAAATTGAAGCTCTCCTTGTAATCAGAAGACCATGACTCCTTCTTTTTAATAAAAAAGATGGAAAACTGAAGATAAGTCTGGTTCAAAGTGCAGACAGTGAAATGAAGTGAATATAAAGCAGAGCAAGGGCAGGGCAGTAACTGGGAGAGGCTGGAGGTGGTAAGGAGCTGGAGTAGTAGCAGCCTAATGCAGGTGCTGGTGATGTAGCTCTTCCCTAGGGACACCATGGTTTGTTTGACTTTTCCTTTTGCTGTCCTCTGAAACCGCAAGTGTTTTGCATCCTTTTAGTTTGTTCAGCAGCACAAATACCTGCCTACGCACTGCACTGAGTTCTCCCCTCGTTTGCTTCTGTGCAAATCCTTTCCTTTCTGGGTAAATGAGCACAGCTTAAGGGATTGAAGGGGCCACGTGGTAGTTCTCCCTTTACCACTGCTAGTGTCTTGCTTCTTATTTCCTCAGTCCCTTGTGTAAAACAGAGAAGTGACTATTTCTTATCTGCTGCTGCTACTATTGTACTATTGAAGTTACTCTCCCATTTCTTTCCCCCTGTGAAGTGGCCTCTTAGTGCCCAGTCGGGCCAGGCATGGTCTCCCCAGCATTGCCTTCCTGCTCCTGGTTTAGAGGCACAAGTTGCTTTGCAGAGAGAGAAGCTGCCAAGCCCAAGTCCCGAGAAGTGAGTAATGTGGGCTCACTTAGAGAAGACAACCAGGTTTTCCCTGCACCCTGGCCACCTTCAGCAGGGACAGGAAAAGGCTCCTACCTGATGGGTGTGCATTGCCATGAAAGAAGGAAGTGTGATGAGTATGGGTGATAGGAGCAGGGACAAAGGGGGAGAGGAAGGGAACAGCACCTGGTCTGCTTTTGTGTTGTTTACACATTTGTTAACAAACTCCTTAACAGACTCTTTACCAGTGTATCTTATCGGGGTTGCTGTGGGAGTGACAGTGAGGAGACTCCCAAGCTGCTGGTCAGGGAGAGGAGCCAGGGTGTGTGCAGAAGGAGAGGGAAGGCTGCCTGGTGCACACACCTGCTGGCTCTGTGGGTCTCCTGCCTTGGGTCTCTGCATGGAAAGAGGTCCAGCAAGTGGGGCAGGGGGTAGAGGGCACAACAGGGCACCCACAGAAGGGAAAGCTGTCATCGTCGACACAAATAGTGGCTGAGGCAGTGCTGCTCTGACAGCCTTTTCCTTGTCTACTATATCCCAGGAAAAATGGTCTCTGAGCACTTCACCCCAAGAAAGTGCATCTCCTGGTTGGTCCCAAACTATGGAGTTGTTTTCTACAAGATCTACCAAGCCTGTCCTTTACATCTTGTCCATAGCTAGCAGGAACCACTGAGACTCCTGCAAATGGGCAATATCTTCTCCAGCAGCTGCTTGCTGCTCCTGCTCCTGTTGCTGTTCCACACTAGTTCAAGGCCATGCATCTTGTCCGTCCCTTTCCCTGAGCTTGCTTGAGGGAACTTGTCCCATAAACGGTGACAAGCAGAGGGGTCAGTGGACTGCAGCAATGGGACAGAGAAATGAGGGCCAAGTTTGGAAAGCATGGCAGTTCCTGAAGCTGGTGACAGTGATGGAGAAGATGTGACACTGAATTACAGCCTGAGTATTGACTGGGGGGTAATTTGCCAACTCTGACATGTGTTCTACTTTAAACCTTGCATCCAGGAGAGTGCTAGCAAGGAGACAATGCAGTGAACCTGCTGTGACAAGAGCAGAAAACAAACCTCAAAGCACTGATTTGGAGCTTTAGCTTAGTCTTGGGGCCCTCATTGTATTCACTTCTTACCCGAATAGAAGGTTATTTAAACCTCCTGCCAGTAGGTCCTGTGCAAAGGAAGAAGCTGGCCTGAATCTGCTGCTTTCACAGAGAATTGACAGGAATTAAAATATCTTATAGGCATGTGCTTCCTCAGCGCTGATTGCCAGGATTTCTGCAAACGTCCTTTCGCACGAGTGTGCATGCCGTTGCATATAACGTGCAGCTTCATGCCTCGATTTTTCCTGCCTAGAACGGGATAGGATTTTGAGCCAACCCATCCAGCCTCTGTGAATGCTCCTGTTTCACCTTACTCTGATTTTGTTCACACCTAGTGGGAATTTGGGGTTTCTTTGGCTGTCCTAAAATCAGAGAACAGGCGGGGAGGGCAGTTAAAAACTCGTTATGGTTGAACAAGCTCAAACCTCTCATGTATATTAGACTGTGGGTTTTTCGCAGTCTTCTTTCTACCTGTCTGTCAGGTGCTCTCACTCCCGTAACCTGCCCAGGTCTGGGGCTGCAAAATGCTGGTCAGGAACAAGGGCCTGTGGAGTTGGGATCAGGGCTTGAGTCACGCGCAAGTTTGCGGCATGCTTTTGCTTTGGGTTCCGCCTCTTTAGCGTGAACCTTTTCCCCAGATCCCCCCTTGCATCTCCATTATGCTTTTATTTCTACTTGGCTTCCGTGGAAGGAGGATAAGCGTGTCCCCGAGCTCAGCACGGGCTCCGTAGGCATTGCCAGCAGATGTCTCTCCAGAACAAGCACTGGCCTGAAGGGCTGCTTTTCTTGGGATTTGGTTTGGGCTTTTCACCTTTCTCCTTGGCCAGCAGAGAAGAGCTTTTAAATTGAGCTCCTCTTGGTACTTCTCTGAAGGCACAGGGCTGAGCACTGGTAGCAAACCTGCCTTGGAGCTGTAGGAGTGTGCTGAACATACAAAGATAGCGCAGAGACAATGAATGTGAGAAGAGATGTTGCTGCTTTCATTTGGAGCCTGGCAAGGGTTGAGAGAAGCTGATTCAAGCTGATTTCTAATGCTTTTTAACATTCTTCTAACACTCTTTAAGCCTGAGGTGTGCCATCAGCTTGGCAGGACACCCCAGTACTTTGCACCTTGTATCTCTGTGCCTGTGACTGAAAACACAGCAGTGTGCTTTGCCTCTGCGGCTAATTCCTGGTAGCCCTGAAGTGGCTGCTCTTCTCAAGTAGAAATGATTTATTGGTGGGCACGCTGGCAGACGTGTTAATGGGGAATGCAGGTCTCCGAGCTGGTGCCTTTTACACCACCAGCAATAGGTCAGAGGTGGAGCGAGGACACTTTGAGGGGGAAAGACCTCAGACACCCAGCACAGCACCCTGGCTCAGCTATTAGCTTCCAGAGTGAGCTTGAGTAAATTAGTTAATATTTCAGCATGGCCACTTCCCACCTTAGGCTGGCATTGAAGAGTCAATGGCATTTTCTGTTTGCTGTGTGTTTTAATTGCAGTCTGCCCTACTTCAAATGTGGGCCAAGGTCTGGAACAGGGCACACGGCAACACACACCGCAGGGATTCGTGTCTGATGTGAGTAACTTTTTTTCCTCTCTGTAACCCAATTTCCTCACCAAGCATTTCTCATGTAAATAGATGACACTAATGGAAATGAGAACACTGCGTCTGTGTGGGATGGAGATAAATTTGGATTTTAAGACATCCCGTCAACTCCTTTTTAAAAGAGAGTGGGAAAGGCTGAGATGGTCAGTCTGGAAACAAAGGAGTTTTACATTAGGACAGGCAAATGTCTCCAGCCCTGAAAAGAATGGTGTAGAGATGTGTCAAAAGCTGTTAGGCCCTGAGGAAGGCA